ACCGCCGTCGACGGGAACAAAAACGCAGAGAGTTACCGAGGGATTGCCGAGAAGAGGCCGAAAGGACGAAGAAAGCGACGAGGGTGAGACGAGCGTCGTCATTTGTAAGGCTGCCGACCGGGGTATGTTGCCGGATGGATCGCACGTAAGCCAGCTCGCACCATAACGATAAAATCGGCGCAAGGGCCGCCGTGTAGAACCGCGGAGCCGCGAGCCACGTGCCATCCTCCCGAGCTTGGAAATTATTAGCTGTCGCATTTCGAGAGTCAGAGTGAGGGAAGTAATATTCGCTGCCGAGTGGAAGTAAATTAGAGTCGTGTGGAGAGAATCGAGGGCCGAGTCGCGCTCGTTCCTTTCGCCACGGGAGAGTCACTGCCCGTTACCGAGTAGAGTAGAGCCGCGTAGAAACGCGCGGAGTAGTCACGTTGTCGAGTTTCGTCGGGTCGCGTAACGACCATTATTGTAATTGCGTGATCGTTTAGTATCGTGTCGCGTAGGCACGCTTGTTATAATCGTGCCGCCGCGCATTGTGCTGTCGCCTCGGAATGCGGATTGTCGCGTTGCCGAGTGAACTTCCGGTTGCGGTGTTACCGAGTAGAGTCGGTTTCCGGAATTCACGCTGTCGAGTAGAGTCGTGTCGCATAAAGGAGTTCGCTATAATCGCGACGCGTGGCGTCGGCTGCTGGCCGGCGTTGCACGTCCGGGAGTCTAGTGGTACGGCGTGTACGGGTTCTGGCCGGCTGTCGAGGGGCGGGCGTTTGACACCGTCGGAAGATACCGCGGGGAAGGTCGGGACTCGTGCTGTAGCGTATGATCGGCGTCCGGCGTAAGGATTAAGTTAGCGGCTCTCTGTGCGAGTACCGAGAGTATCGAGCAGAGCGGAGGGGCGAAGCCCCGGAGAGTACTTGTAATTGTTTCACTGCTGTAATTTATCATATTTGCTTCATTACATTCCTTTCAAATATAATTGTTCTTATTATTACGCTTTCGCGTGGTTTATTCTTGTGGCCTATCTCTCTCGCCCTCCGACAAATTTCCCACACCCCTTGTGACCCACCCCCTGCCGTCGCGAAAACGTTACGGGCAAAAGTGAGGAGATTTCGAAAAGAGTGGCACGCTCTCTCGTGCCTGGCGCCCAACTTAGAATAAGAATTATAATTTTGGCCGAAAACCGCCTGGCTCTCGCAAAATTCTGCTACCGAGGGAGAGAAAATACTTTTGCGTACTTTGAGTACCGAGAACACGCGACGAAGTTGTACCGTTGCTCGCGAGTACGATTACAATATATAAAATAAAACAACATTTTATCTAAATA